AGACTTTTACAGATTACCTTAATAGGGTTTCTGAAATAATTCCCTTTCACTAAGCAAAAACATAATGTTTAGAGACATAGAATTTAATAATTGTATCAAAAATGCAATATTTTTCAAAATATTTATGTTGAAGCCCATTTTTTTCCTGCTTTATTGCATCACTGGTGCTTAGCATATGTGAGACACAGATACTGCATCCACATTTTTTRGTACTGCCTTACCTCAGTAGCTAAATAATCACACCTGAGTCAATGCCTTCTGTGTTTTAGGTGAGCTGAAAAATCTTCCCTTAAGGGAACTGTAAGCAAACTCCAAAACTTTGCTTTTTTGGTGAAGTAGATGTTGCAACTTTATTACTTGCTAAGAAGGAAGTATCTTTTCTCTGTGAAAGCAAATTAAAAATTGCAGTTATCAAAATCTGTTCGTTCTATTTATGGGCTGTATTTGTAGCCAGCTGATTTTTGCATAATGCCATTTGAAATTATCCATTTAACAATGATGGATGATACAACTGTGTTGCTCTCCCTCCACTTTGTAACTGATCCGTCTACTTATAGATTGCATTGGACATGTTGCTGATGCTTTATTTGTAAAATTCACTCACATATGTGAGAAATTTGTTCGTTAAAGTCTTACTGACTTCACAGAGGCTTCTCAGACAAGTAAAGATACTCCTCTAAATAAGCAAAACCAGCCCAGTATGTGAAGTGAAAAGACCTGGGAATATCATGAGGTTTGTTAAGTCAATTAGAATTTAGCCTGTTAGACTAGATCTGAATAAAAAGTAATCTGTAAGACCTTCCGAACACTTCAGTTAAAAAAGTTGCAGTCTTAAATTTCCATCCAAACACTTCATAGTTCTCTTGTATATTTCTTAGCTGTATTTTGCATTTGATACAACAATATATGTTTCATCACAAGAAGAAATGTTTGTAATATTTTGCCTAATTATCAAATTTTACAGCTCCTGTGAAGTGTGAGTCCAGAGTTAAAGTTCATGAGCAAATTAATTAAGCAGTAAAAGTTCCTGTGGGTTTTGTTAATGGTTCCGTTTAGCATACAAAGGTGATGGAGACTTCTGGRGGTACTGAGGGTGTGGGTAAGGGTCCCTCAGGAAATGGAGTTTGCTGCACTGCTCTGCCTGAAAGTTTGTGCCGGGAAGCACCAGGTTTGGGGAGGCACTAAAGTACAAGTGCTGCTCTTTGCTTCGCCGTGTGCTAGCGCACATCGATAAGTTGTGGGGATGACCTCCATCTTCCAAAGAGACAGAAAGCTAGAAATGAAGACACATTTCTGTTATCAGTCTGCTGTGGGTCGTAAGTTGAACTGGTGTTATATTTTTCTCKGAAAGCCGCGTAGCCCTGACACGGTGTTTAACAGTGTTAAGCTTATTGCTGCTGAGCTAAACATGTCTGAAGTGAACGATGACCCTCACGTCTTTGCAATGGCAAAATGTCTCCCTGATGTGATCCCAAAGACTTGGAGCATTAAGTTAATTTTCCCCTGGATTTCTGAGCTGCCTTCTTTTTACCCGGCGGAGAGCTTGTGAAGAATACAGCTTCTGACCGAATGACAGAACATGGAGGGTGAAATTAGATGCATTCAATTAGAAGATGACAAAAAGCCTATCTAAATATTTGTCAGGATGCTACTTACAGGACGTAGTGTCCAGCTGGGGGAGTGAAAGGTGGACGCTCTCGGGACTTAATAGTCTGAGGGGGGAAAAAATGGGTAAACCATCCAGATTCTTTATGGGTTTGGAAGGGATAATTGAGGGTATCGAGTTGACTGCTATGCTTCCAGGGCTGGTGATCCCTCTCATGTAATCTCAGATTAGTTCTTTGCTTTTATTCACTTAATACAGAATTAAATTTTACAAAGTTTTCTGGATCGCTTGAGTAAATAATGTTGTTATTTGACCACTAGAGGATGATTAATGAAGTGATTTCTGGGAGGTATTGAAGAAAGAGGGGCTCCACCTTCTTCTCAATATAAAAAACACACCATGAAACAACCAAACAAAACCCCAAAGCCACAAAACTTAAGGAAATGAAAAAGACACAGCAAACTGTTGTCTGTGACTTTGTTGGACAAGAAGATTTACTRCTTTTCCAGAGGGCAAAAGGATGTTCTTGGAAAGGAAAATTTGAAATTAGTAGTCAGTTAAACAGAAAGTGATCAAAATATGCAGCTTGGTTTAGCCACATCTGTTTATCTGTAAATTAAATTTACAGCAACTTCTTTAAAGTAAGTGAGCAAATTTCCGGCTCGTATTTTCCTGCTCAAAAAAGTTTTAATTATGCAAGTTAAATTAAAAGTAGATACAGCATACCATAGTTATCTTTTAATAATTTTTTTTCATTTCTGTTACAACAGTTCAAGGGAGAAGTGACTATGATAGGGTTAATCCAGCTACATAAAAAATCCATGCTGTGTATGATAGTAGTAAAGCTTGTGATCCCTTGATCTTTGATTAGATCCAAGCTAGTAAATATCTTGTGTTTAATCAGAATGAGTTGTTCTGCATGTAGTATAAGTCACCTTCACAGATGGGATGTAGCAGCAGAGTTGTTCACGAATATTTGTTTTAATCCCTTCCAGAACAAGCATGCTTTATGTTTCTTTGTTGTAAATCAGATTCAAGCAACTAAAGACCAGCATGAAGRAAAGATATTTACTTGCAGTCAAGAGTAGGACAGTGTGGGAACCTATTTCCCTTTTAAAGAAAAATGTAACTTAGTAGATTCTTAAAAGGTATTTTWTACTATTCCATAAAGATAACTAACACACTTTGGCTGCTTTTTTAGACTGGGATGCAAACATCAATACCTGAAATTTCTTCTTAAACTGTTCATACACTTTTCTATCTTAGGCAATAAATATGAAGAGACAAAGATTTATCACAGTTAATGTTCAGCCTGTATTACTATCCTCTATTTTAAAGGTATTTAGTTAGAATGGCTGTTCTCTTYGCTGGTAAGCTGAAATTACTGAAATGTTATCTGTAAGGATACTTGTTTTGTTCGGTGTGTCGGCGTCCTATTTACCTAAATCTGTCATAATTGCCTTCCAATACATCTTCTTCTGACACACCAAATATTGAAAATGAGACCACTCTTTGCTGGGAGATTTTCTACTGAATGTCATTTTTCTCTGTTCATAACTTGATGGTAATAACTGTAYGACCTGTAGTTAAATGCATCTCAATTTCTCTCACTTATTTTTCCTAATCACCACATGGAGCCTTCAGTGCTCAGAGGTGTGATTAGATTTAACCTGCCATCATATCTGAAGAACTTTCTGTACAACATATTATACATTGCAGGAATTATATATGTAAATGGTGGGTCTAAGTGTGATATATAAATAGATATAAAGATGAGTTGCTCTCATGCCAAAGTTAACTACTGTTTATTTTTTTCTCTCTTTTTTTAACAGAAAGACTGGAGAGCCCCCACTAATAAATGGCTGGATTCCTTACCTTGGGAAAGCTTTGATTTTTAGAAAAGATGCTTACAAATTCTTACTGGATCAGCAAAAGAAATTTGGAGATATTTTCACTGTACATATTGCTGGTGAGAAATATTTTAGTATATGTCTTTATTTTTTTCCATCAGTGAAGTTAAATACTAATCCAAATGTTTAGTTTAGAATCTTCCTTAACCCAAAACATTTTTCTCTAGCATAGACCCATAAAAATCCCTCAAATTTACATGTATTGTAATCACAATAATTGTCCATAAAATATCACTGTCAACGTGTGGATTTATTTACATTTATAAGTATGTATGTATTTTGACAGATTTTGTAGGTATGTACTGGATGAACATAGATTTTGCCAGCACATTTAATTGTGTATTGTTGTTTTTTTTTCTAAAGAAGGGAGAACTAACATCATCTTGACACTGCACAGAAAAATATCAGATTAAATTTAGAAAACGCTTAAGAAAAAAAGTGCAGAATTTGTTCTCACACATTTTACAACTGGTTGACAGGAACACAAGGGAATGAATGACACATYGACTCAGTGATACAATCGGGACTGGAACACGGAAACTTCCCGTTGCCAGCCTCTTACTCTGATCATGCTTGCTGAAAATAACAATATAATAAAGTATGATATAACCTTGCTGCTTCCTGTATTTATAACTGTATTACTGAGCTAGACTGAATACAAACATTTGAGTGATTTCACATAGACACTTAGTTGTGGAAGAAAAACATCCAGAAAAAAAAACCATTCCAGAATAAAACTGGAATGCTAAATATAAGTTAAATATATAAATTTACATCTATCTATCTAGCTACCTATCTCTCTAGAGAGATTTATTTTTTACTAAGTCAATATAAAATCCAGTATTTTCTTATGTTCAGAAAAAGGCAAGCTCTTATTAGTATAGGTGAATGTAATCATCAGCTGCTTCTTTACATGCTGATACCCTTGTTCACATTATCAACTTCATTTCATTTTTAGTTATTCCGTATTCTGTATTTTTTAGGGAGTTTCAAACAAAAATGTGAAGTGGAAAGTGTAAAGTTTGCTTTGTAATTCTGGAGCAGTAGTATTAGCTTTATATTTCCATATAAGCAATATTTTGCATTGAAAATATTTTTTCTTYAAACATCAATTAATTTTATTGCATGATGTGTGTTTAATTAATACAATTTTTCTTTCCCTTACAAAAAATCTGYCCTATTGTTCCTTTGGAAGAGAATTGTTACTGTATTAAACATGTGATTTTTTAAAATGCATTCAGGATTTTTATTTTGGAAGCTGGTATGATCAGATTTTTTGCAACTTGAAAATGAGTTTGGCACAGTACAACTTTTGTTGAAATACAGTCTTTTTATTGTTAATATGAATTCACAGTATAATACAATTTTGGCTTCRTACAAGTACAGATTAATAACTATAATTCAGATATTATCTTAGTACATTCATAAAACTAGATAAAGTCATATTTCAGAATCCTAAATCTGTTTAATCAGCTGTTTATTTCTTTTGCCTCTTTGCTATTTTATGCAAGATTGTGTTTAGTAACTTGTGTGTTTAAGCAATCTATGAGTGTAATTTAGTTTCAGAAATTTCTATTTGCATGATAAAACAAATTCCATCTCAGATAATCTCCCTGTGTTCTTGAGCCAAGCCTCCCTTGATAAAGACTGAGGTAAATGGAGTTAGTTCTGGATATCATTTCAGTCTTGTGCAGGGAAATGTTTGATTCTGTGAATTTGTCATAACAGAGACTTTAAGTTCTCTTTTGCGGTGTAGAGCTGCTGACCATCAAGACCTCACTAAARAGAAATAGTTTGTCATCTGCAAGTCAGGGAAGAAACCAGAGCTAGTTAGTACCTCCTATCGTGTCCTGATCTGAAGGCATGCAGGATTTCTGGATGTCTTACTGATTTGACAAAGATGATGTTTCTGTGCTCGGCAAACATAGTGTAGCCAGCTGTATGTGGACTATCATTACTTTACCCCCCTGGTGGATGTCTAAAGGTCCTGTCAAAAAATTCTATCAATATATATTGTTCTAATTATTGGTTCTCAAACTAGTTCATTTGGAAAATGCGGAGCGATGCTTGGAGTTTCTGGCATTGCCCCGTACYGGTAATGCGATTTTGCTGATTGTACTTTCCCATGTGATGAGCAAATGATTGTCATCCCTAAAAGTCGCAAGGGACATGGATGTCATCTTAATAAAGAAATTAAAAAGCACATCTTTCTATGAGAAACAATGTAAATTCCTGACCTGTCGCAGAAAATAGTTCTCTAATTGGTTTTGTGTGGTGGTGCAGCAGAATCGTTTTCCCCAAACGTCATGCCAGCGCAGCACCACTGTACATCATTGTCAGCAGTTCAGCAGAATCTCCCTAATAAGAGGACGATTACGTAAATGCGATAGTCTTGGGGGAAGGAAAAAAAAAAAAAAGAACAGAAAATAAAAGAATAAGGAGGGGAAAGAGAGAGAGAGAGTCTGTGGCTCTGTGGCATTGAGATGGTCATACTTCCCAAGCCTCTCTGCTTGTTAAGGGTCAGCAGCGTAGGCAGACGGCTAGGTAAGAATTTACAGAGCTTGAAACAGTTTTGTCATTGTTTCCCGGTGTTAAACTTTGTGTCCTTTTCTTCTCAAGTTGATATGAGTKATAATGAACCCTGCAACATTCTCTCTGAGACTAGCTCACCTTTTAATAAAATGATCTTAGTGGTTTTTACTAAGCACATTTGCCTTTTCGAATACTGTTGCTAAGTCATTCTTTTCTTTAAAGCATGATACACCTACAGTAACATATCACATTTTTCTCTCTTAGGCAAAAGGTAATTTACATTAACTCCATACCAGGCTGAAGCCTGCTGCAAGCATTACTGAAATAACATCCATCATTAGATGCCATCTGAAATGCTTGTCTTTCATCATTAGCATTAAAAAGCTCCAGAATGCATTATTAGAGTAATTTCTTAACTATCATACAAATACTGGCTTCTGTGCTCAGATTTACCAAAGTTGACAATTTTCATATTTTCCACATCAATCTTCTATTTGTAGGAGAATGTAGAAACTAAATGGAGATAACCAGGCTATTTGCAGCATGGGTGTAATGCTGACTGAAGGATTGGATATATTGTGAAGTATGAATTCTCCGTAGCCATTTAAAGAAAAAAAAATCAGAGGGCTTTTTGCAGAAGCAAGCATACATCTCTTGTTTTGACTTGTTTCTACTGTATTAAATAAAACAGCTCAGTGACTTAAACTGTTGGGAATTGAAGTGTGACATTTCTGTATGTACATCTACTTAGTTTTTGGTGTTGAAGGTTTTTTTTGGTTTTTTTTTTTTTTTGCAAACTAACAGGGAAAGGCTTAGTTTCTAGTGATTTCTGTATAAATACCTTAAATATTTAAGGCTACCTGATTTGTGGAGATTGTGGTATGCCTCCATTTTTTGGCTGATTTGGCATTACCTTTTCCAGTGCTCTGATGGAAACTCATGAGTATCAAGATTYTGGATTGATTTCAGAAAAGGGTACTTTTCAGAGATAGTCTTGGCATTAGCTGCAGTAGAAGGACATGTGAGTAGAGGGGGAAGCTGCATTTTAAAATACCAAATAGTAACTGAAAACTTTAGGAGAGATTTTAATTTATTGGTCTCTGACATCAACAGGGAAAATTAGTGGGAAGGTACCTCACTGRGGACAACAATAGGATTTCAAAAGCAAAACTAAGGACTATATTGGCACTTAAAAAATTTAAAATCATAACTTGAGGTGAGAAAGTTTGTTCTACTTCGGATGTTTGCTGTTCAGGGTAGAGGAGGTGTTGGGGAGTGGTTTTGTAATTAGCAATCATCTGCTCCTGTGTGGAGAAGACTGGGGTAAGCAGTGTAGCCATGTAAGGCATCTATGTGCAAGAATTACTGTAATTGTTAAAGATTCCCATATCCACTCACAACTTTCCAACTGCCATTAATTAGCCCTAGATTTTAGTACTTTTCTAAATAAGAGATCTAAAATTAGATTCTTGATGGCATACATAAACAAGCTGCCTTTGTTATAGAGAGGTTTCACTCTTCTGGTTATCTGGTCGTTTACTAAATGCAGCAATAAGAAATATTTTGGTTTATGCATATATGTTGTTGACTTGCAGTGATATGGTCTGGAGCCTGAATTGATTCTACAAAATGAATTATATTTTGGTACATACTTACATTTTGCTACCAGGAACCTGATGAGAATAATAAAAACAGGATCTGTAATATTCTGTTTCTCATGGACTTTTTTTTCAGAGTATGTGCTAGTGTTGAGTGAGTTCTGATTTAAAATTATTTTTTAAATAGTTTGTTTGTCTGAAAACTCATTTGCTTGAAATCATTTTCATACTTAAAAATGATAAGAATTGATGTGCGTTTGCTAAGTGTCTGATTAAAGATCACAAAGAAACTCATATTTTGCATCAGAAATAAGCAGATGGTGGACAGATGGTTTAAATTAATATTAATTAAAAATCTTAACTTAAATTGTTTACCCTGTAAATGCAAAGTTAAGAAGCCAGCTTTCATCTTTAGGGTTAATAACACTCYAAATCTATTTATTAAAAATTGCTCCAATGGGCATTCTTTCCAAGCTTTGATCACAAAGATGGTAGCCTCAATAAAGAGCATGAAAGTGGGGGAAAGCTGGAAAGAGAGAGTAATTCTAGGACTCATAACAAAGACCCTGCAGAGGTCAAGACTAAAAATTCCTGTAAGCCTGTGTCGTCTGGAAAGGAAGAAATAGTCAAAAAGGGGGACTGACAATTCAGGATCTATCTTCCATGCTGGTTTCTCAATATACTTTAGATTTACAGCTATGGTTGATTATGTCACAGTAAAACAAAATCCACGAGTATCTTAAAAACCTTCATACACTGTTGACAAAAAAGAAAAAGGGGTCAAATTCTGTCTTGGTAYATCCGTTACATTTCCTTACTGGTTCACTGGGAATGCAGCTGATGTAATTGGGAGGGAAATTATGGCAGCTGGTAATTGCAGAGGAAGTCCAGAGTGTACCCAGATACCATAGAGCACTGTGTGTGTATATAAATCAGAATATGAAATACCTATGATAATTCAAATATCACTATATGGTAACCATGGATACTTGACATTTTTAGTGGTACTGACTACTTTATCTCTGGACATCTGTCACAGAGCCAAATTTGGTCCTCACTTAAGCATGTAGTGTTCCCATTAAAATCAAAGGAGATTTGTCCCTTTAGTGAGACAGAATTAGACTGTAAGTGCTGGAAGCTTTGCTCTTTCCCTGGGTTTGTAACTGGGATATTTCACAGAGGAAGTGTACATTTTAATAGGTCCCCTTTTCCCCTAATACACCTCTTCATTCAAGGTAAGAATCAGGAACTCTAAATTTAGAATCATCAATAAAGAGCTAAGATTTAATTGAGCYTTGGGAGTGTTAGCATTTTGATTCATGGTAGTTCCTCCAAATGCTTTTCTTCAGCAGTTGACTTGAAGTTTAGGGAGAAATTGCAGGGTTTCTCTGGCAGGCACAATTTGAGAAAGCATCTAACAGTGCAGTCCTATCCCTGTGTACAAGGAGCTGAAGGTGTCACTGTGTCAYCCCACTGAGCACCCTGGGAAGGGTGGGAAGCTGTCAGTGCACTCTGACACAAGGGGTGCTGGCACTAGGGCGGTGTGTACCCCAAAGTGGAACCCATGCCAAAAATGGTGCCTGCTGCACTGTGAGCTATGATTTCACATTTATAAACTGAGGTAGTCATGTTGTGGATACTGAGCACATKCTTAACAAAGAGTTAGCAAAGCTTCAGGGAAAAAGAACCAAATGTGAGAGAAACTTTAAATGTTGGGGWTTTGCAGCGTGCAGTTAGAGCCGTAACCAACAGATTATGAGTTCCTGTGTCATCTGCTTGAAAAAAAGCTGCCTAGGTGGCATGTTTTCCACTCCAGCCTGTGGTTCACTTTCCTCTCTGCAGGTGAAATCTGTGTGGTTTTTGTTTTCTCCTGGTGAAAACCTGCAGTTTCCAAATGTTGCTGTGACTCCACATTGTATTTTCATGAATGAGACCAGAGTAGTAAGTTATTTCAGAGCACCACAATTGAAGAGGTCACACACAACTGTTGACACAAACAGTAGATCCATCTACATGGAAATGACCTCACGCTGATTTTTGAAGAGCCTTCAAAGTATGCACAGGTGAAATCTGCCTCCTGACAAAAAGAAGCTAAATAAAATTAGTTTCTTTTTTTTTCTGGTTGGGTTTTTTTTT